ATCTTTTTTTAGTCATCGTTTTTGTCACCTATTTTTTAGTCATCGTTTTTTGAGTCATCTTTTTTTTTTGTCATCGGTTTTTATCGTTTTTGGAGTCATTGTTTTTTTTCATCGTTTTTTGGTCATCTTTTTTCAGTCATCGTTTTTTAAATCTTTTTATTTTTGTTATCGTTTTTTTTTTTTTTTTCTTTTTGTCATCGTTACTGGAGTCATAGTTTTTTTTTTTTTCATCGTTTTTTGGTCCTTTTTTAGTCATCGTTTTTTTTGAGTCATTCGTTTTTTTTTTTTTTTTTTTTTTTAGTCATCGTTATTGGAGTCATCGTTTTGTTGTTGTTTTAGTCATTGTTTTTTTTCGTTTTTTTTTTGGTTCTTTTTTTTTAGTCATTGTTTTTTTTTTTGTTTTTTTTTTTTTTTTTTCATCGTTATTGGAGTCATCGTTTTTTTTTTGTCGTTTTTGGTCATCTTTTTTAAGTCATCGTTTTTTTTTTTTTTTTTTTTTTAGTCATCGTTTTTGGAGTCATCGTTTTTTTGTCCGTTTTTTGTCATGTTTTTTTTTTGTCATCTTTTTTTTAGTCATCGTTTTTGGAGTCATCGTTTTTTGTTTGTTTGTTTTTTGGAGTCATCGTTTTTTGTTTGTTTGTTTTTTAGAGTCATCGTTCTTGGAGTCATCGTATTTAGAGATCGTTTTTGGTCATTATCCGGAAACCAAAGGAGAGTATTGGTTGTTTCTTCAGAACCAAAGAGGTGAAAGTAGAGGAGATTCTTATGCCAACATTTCCTCCACTCTTTCCCTAATTTTTTGTATGTCAACACTATCACTATGTCAGAACTTTCTCGTTCTTTTTACCATCGGCGCCAATTGCCTACAGGATGATCAGTTATCAATGACTTTATTTAATAGAATAATCAGATCTCGAAGGAAAATCAATTCTCTCCTTTGTTATGAAGAAGCTACCAGATTTCAACCTGAAGAGCGTTTTTTATTTTTTTTTTTTAGGGGGGGAGGGGTTGCGTTCGCGTTTCCTACACCTTTTTTATTTCTTTTTTTTTATTCGCCTCATGACCCGACGAAGCGACCTGTCCTGACCTCCCTCCGCTTCCGTGCCCCGGACCTCACCTGCCCTATCTGTACCTTGTCTCTCCCCTCACCTTCCCTTTCTCTCTCCTTCCCCCATACCTGAAGATGAAACCCAGGTTTTGAATGTCTAATCTGCTGTCTAATTATTCAGTAAATCTATTTTATTGTAGTGTTTATTTGTATATGAGTGGACACGGTTGAGTGTTTTGCTTTCTTCAAAACCTTTTTCTATGTATCGAAATAGACTATGATTATTATATATTTTTCTCGTTTATCTATTTACCTAAATATTAATTTCTAGAAATGCGAATACCAAACAATGGCAAAAGATTTTGAAATAAAGGAATCAAAGTGCTAAAAATCTTGAAAAAAAACTAAAACGGCCAAAACTGCAATGGAAATTCTCCAATATTAAAAATATGTTAAGATATCTGCCCAAATACATTTAAAAAAAACGTCAAAACACTCTAAGAATACAACATAAGTCTGCTTTCCAGTGTGTGCACAAGGAGAGCGAGAGAGCGTTATAGTTAAGAATGGCTATACAGGTTGTTTACTTGACGGGAGAACACACTGCTATACAGAACATAAGCCTATTCAGAAACAGAGAATGAGGGGAAAACATAAAAGAGAAACAGAGCAAAATAAAAGGTCTAGAGAGAAAATAAAAGTAAGAGAGAAACAGGCATCTTCCCTCCACACGTTCACCGGATCCCTACCTCCTTTAACCCTCCCTTTCCTCCCTTCACTTTTTCCCCTTCCTTTCTCCCTTCAACCCCTTCCCTTCTTTCCTCCTCTCACATCTCCCTTTCCTCCCCCTTCACGTGTCTCTCTCTCTTTCCCCTCACCTCCCTTTCCTCCCCCTTCCTCCTTTTCCTCCCACTTCCTTCCTCCCCTCACGTCTCCCTCCTTTCACCTCCTTTTCCTCCCCCCTTTTTCCACCCCTCATCCCCTCCCCTCACCTCCCTTTCCTCTCCCCCTCCTTCCACCCCTCACGCCTCCCTCCCCTCACCTTCCTTTCTCCCCTCACCTCCCTTTCCTTCCTCCCCTCACCTCCCTTTTTGCTCCCTCTCCTGCCCCCGCCCTTACTCACCCCTACCACTCTACCCCAAATGGATTCGCCTGGCACACCACCCTCTCCAGGAACCCAGTCTTCGGTTTCTCCAGAAGGGCCGAAAAATACGAGTGGACGGCCTCAGTCGCAAAGCCTCTGTTGATCTGCAAGAAGGCGCTGATCTCCGTGTCCTGGAAGGGGGTACCGTCGCCCCACACGTAGTCGGTCAGGGAGGTCTTGCGAAGATCCACCCAGAAGGCGCGGCTGGCTGCCGGAAGGGAAAGGGCGATGGATGCATCTCTGTCTATCTGATTGATGATTCAATCTCTGATTGATATGCATTTATCTGTCTATCTCTCTGACTGATA